TTCGTGACGTTGTCAGTCAGCATTTGTGTATGCGTTACTGACAAGCGTTTGAAGCAGCCGGTCCATCCAGCTTTTTATCGAAACAACCGACCAATAAGGTCATAATCCCTGAATGTGCTGTGGTGTACAAGTAGCGACGCACACACACACGCACGCACACGCCCACGCGCATATATATATATATATATATATATATATATATATATATATATATATATATATATATATATATATATATATATATATATATATATATATATATATATATATATATACATACATATATTATCAGAGTCAGTCTAACCAAAGCACGCAATTAAAGCCCATGTTCATATCCACAGCACGCACCTTGCCAGGGGTGTATCCACAGCATGCTTTTGATAAACGTACAAGCAGTGAACTTCACGGGTGGGATGTATCCATGGCTACCCACTACCCGTATAGAGGGTAATGGGTCTGGTTGGGTGCATGGTTCTAGAAAATGACGTGTCTGAGCACGAGTATGGGCAAGACGTTTATGAAATCTTAGGCAAATTCTTAACCAACGATTTCACAATGTAGCTGCTCGCGTTTCCTCAACGCGCGCTCGGGTGGGCGGTAAAATTGACCTCCCCGAAGGTTTTTCCAAACTGGTTTCCGAACGGCGCAGCATAGCCGCGCCAAATTTTGCATAGTTGTGGATAATTGAACAGCGGATTGTTTGGTATACAACATTAGATCTAGCTTGTAAGGTCACTGACCTATGGCCGGTCAAAGTCAGGTCATGGTTTCAGCGAAGGCAATTTCTAGGGAATCGTTCAATCTGATGCAACATTGGAGTGTTAGACGAGAGCGCTCATCCCTGGGAAACTTTCTTAGGCAATAAAAATATTGAATGAGTAAATTATGTTGACCTAATGTCAGGTATAAAGGTCAGACTAAGGTCAAAACCAACTTGCCTTATTGCTCTAGGGCTTGATGTATGGAACAGTTTCTGGTGTTCATTTCGAATTCATTGATTGCAGGAACCGCATTATGCGTCTTCAATGGGCTTCTCGGGGATCAAAATAGGTCATTGACCTAAAGTGACCCAGTTCAACATTTTGTTTTTAGAGCCATACTGCCTAGCGTAATCTTTGTCGCTTATTCAAATGCAAAACTCAGAGCAGTCTTGTATGATTCTGGTCACCATGACTTTAAAAAAGGCCAAACAAGGTCACTAAACTTAGATGCGCACGCGACCTTTTGTTCAGAAACAGTTATCTTGGTGCTGGGGACGCTTTGAAGACCAGCTTGGAATTTGACCTTGTTTGACCTCATTCCATCCGAAGGTCATAACCTAGCAACGTCAAATTTCGAGCTAAGTGAGTTCACGTACAGATCAATACACCCTGTAAATTTGGTGTTTCTAGCTTTCTTAGTTCTCAAGATCTCAGGGGAGTGATATTGACCCCCTCCCGAGCGAAGGATATCTAGCCGGCCACCCAGGCGCGTGTTAAGTCATAAGTAACTCCACTCCCTGTAGTTCTTAAACTATGAGCGCAAAAGGCGAGTTCGGTTGTAAACTTTATTCAAGGTCGTCCATGAGTTATTCTCAAATGCTCGACAAATACCAACAGGTGGGTGACGTGGGTACAACTTATTGGACGTGGGTAGCGGATGGGCACGGATGAAGCGCCATGGGTTGTAGTTGGAATGGGTGAAGGAAAACGCACTCTTGAAAGCCTCTACGCAGAAGCTTTATGAAACAGGGGGCGGAGTAGTTGCACTGTCTCTGGTCTATTTATATCTGAAATATTGGTCCAATTTACCACCACGCGCGTCTGCAATTCCTTAGCAATTTTTGGATCTTTGCAATGAACAGGTTTTCCACAAATGTGACTATCACAAACGCGCTCACACACTCATTCTGGCACCCAAAATTGCATCGAAAAAGCATCTGCATTTTAATTAAGGTACACCCAAATATAAAACATTCTTCAAACTCTTTCAGGATAACCGTCCTCAACGTCTCCCCTAAAACAGCTTGGTAGATGCCCTCCTGTTATTAACGCCTTTTCACCGTTTGTCTCAACGAGCATGTACTGCAAACGTGTGGCGTTTCAAGGGACATCGTTCTAAGTTGTTGTGCCTCCGAACGAAAAGCAGCCTTCACCCACATCAGTTTAAATGTGTGGCAAGCGGAACACCTCACGCCGATGTCGCTAGTTGAGCTGGCTCTCCAGTTGTCATGGTTACATGCTTGTGTACGTATACCGGTCGCTTATGGAGCACACCCACGCTCAGTCAGCCTATCTCCGGACAGCACGGACAACGATGATACTTTTGAAGGTGCGCTATCACGGGTCCAAAAGCAGCAGCATATGAGGAGCGCCCGCTACGCCCACAACAGTGATGCAGTGGAACACAGTCGGCAGCAATGACGATTGCAATGTTTGATGTATGAGGCTTCTTAGCACCAGATGACGATGACGTCAAGGTGCAGGTGCGATCCCTGGGAATTTGTGCGCAATCGCATGACGGTGTGACGTCCAAAGCAGGTTTGCATAACGCAAAACACCCATGGTTTTGCACCTAACTGCGGTGAGGAGTCGATCACGGTGGACCTGCCCGGGAAGAGGCTTCTGGTGTGCTGACATGCTCCAAATAACGAATAAATACCTGGGACTTCGATAGATTCCCACTCATCCCGTTGTATACCAACCAGTTGCACCATGATTCAAAGGCTTCCTGCATGACTCTCCAAGTTCGTTCAGGCTTCAAAGGTCTTCTGTGACAAGTACTTGGCAGTCACCCACGTACTATATAAGCTTCGTGGCACCAGCGTAACGGTTACGCTCATTTTTGAATGTACTGAAAGTGGGATCCATGAACGAGCCTTGACACTCGCAAGATCTGACGTCGTATTTGGTATGAAAGCTGCTGTGACTAATCGTTTAGTCACCGTGGTAACGAGCCACGGAATCTCAATTCTTCTACCACCGTGTGGTGACTACTGTGATGTGAAATACGCCATAAGCTGCCAACACACCAGCTTTCTTTTCTAGTCTATGCACCACGGAAATGGGTGAAATTAGTTCGAGATTTCTCAACGTGTCTAGATAGACGTCGGCTCCACAACAGGCTCAGCCCCACGGCTCCACACCCACTTCCATGACAGAACTCCAGAGACAGTATAGAGGTCGGCTCCACGGCTCCTCACCCACTTCCATGACAGAACTCCAGAGACAGTATAGAGGTGGGCTCCACGGCTCCTCACCCACTTCCATGACAGAACTCCAGAGACAGTATAGAGGTGGGCTCCACGGCTCCTCGCCCACTTCCATGACAGAACTCCAGAGACAGTATAGGGGTCGGCTCCACGGCTCCTCACCCACCTCCACGACAGAACCGCAGAGACAACATAGAGGTCGGATCCACAAGTGGCTCAGCTCCACGGCTCCACATCCACTTCCGTTACAGAACCCCAGAGACAATATTGAGGTCGGATCCACAAGTAGCTCAGCTCCACGGCTCCACATCCACTTCCGTTACAGAGCCCCAGAAACAATATAGAGGTCGGATCCACAAGTAGTTCAGCTCCAGGGATATGTGATCTAAGATATGTAAGCAATGTAGGCTTAAGCCAGCACTGAATGCATAATATGCATGTCATGTAGGTTTAAGTCAGCATTGGGGAGGGGCATAGACCTCCCAAAAGCATACAATGTGACGCCTCTGCGCTTTGGATATTGAAGATCACAACTCGCTGTAAGCAATTTGAGCCCACAACGCAGTTTCCAGCATAAGTTACGAAACAAGTGATGACTTTCTCATCTATTATCGTCACATCTGTTGTCCCGCGCCACACAAGACGACTTACTGGTTTCCGAAGTTATTGAAATCATTGTCTGCCAAAAAAATCCAGCAGATAGAGCCAGATACTCCGCATTCAGGCAAACAGGCAGGTGAAATTAGCGAGTCGCCGGTGGCAGCACCTGACATTAGAACGATTGTGAAGGCATACTGTGAACCAGAGATCATGGCAATTAATACCTGACAACTACGTTCAGACTACATTAGACTTCGGTTCATTTTGAGTGTGTCGGATTCCGTTTGGCTCCGCCTTGCGAGAAACCTCTTCATTTGGACTGGATCTGAAGTTTCGTACTCGGTCCGACATCAACTTAAAAATTTCACTAGCCGTTTCTTACCCCACTAGCAATGTAGAGTCCTCCAAGCCGGCTGCTCTTATCCTGAGGTTAATTTGTCATTCCCTTTCCGCGACGGCCAGCTTACAAGCTATATCATTGTTTCCAAAGCACACTGAACGTTCAGCGATTGTTTTATTGTATTATATCTCTCGGAACTCTTCGCAGTGTCGGGGATCCTTAGATCCTCTCAAAGACCACTTGGTGATCACTGGGCCATCAAACATTCTGCACTTGGCTTGGTCCCACCACTAACCACATCAGGGGCACGCATTAGTTCAACTTGTCTCACATCATTGAACGGCGTCTCGGTTGCTGTAACGTTGTGTGTAATGACGATCTTTTATCACTTTGGCCAGTGCCGTGTCCGTATCATTATCCGCGGGACCCTAATTCGTCTCAACTTTCGACGTGCCCAGTACATCTGAAAGTTTGGGAGTTCATGCGAGCATAAGTAATGGAACTCCTTTTTCTTCCTTGGACCCGTTTACCACCTTGACGTCCACGTAACGACCTAGCGCATGATCTCAGAAGATGGATGTCAGGTAGCTTACTTCGCGAGCCTGTTTACCCCAGAGAAGGTAAGAATTAGCCAACTCAGTTAAACTCGTCGTTCACGCATTCTCACCACCAGACACGTGCTACGAAAATCTGACACGCCGCTTGCAACTGCCAGCCAATCTCTCCGGTCACCTGTTGCAAAGTGACGTCAGGGACCCACGTCATCGTCGGCCGCCTTCTCCGCGCCGTGATTGGCCGGCGTCGGTCGTGACGTCCTCGGGGGGCCCCTATAAGAATATGATAGCCGCGGAGGAATACGGGTAGCTGGCTGGAGCGAAGGAAAGGCGCGTGGAGATCTGTCTCACTGGTGAACGGAGACCCCGGACAACTCGCCGCGCAGTCTCGAGGTACGCACACAAGTTGTCTGTGTATTTCCACTACTGATTAGAATCGGAATATTGCCTGGCGTACAGGCGCTTTAGCAGAACTTTGTCACTAATGAAGAGCGTTATCAAACATTGCGTAATCAGCGACGACTCAACAAAAAAGGCCTATGCCGCATCTTCGTACCGAGAAGAGCATGCCCCTCCTTCCCCTCCCCATAGTCGCCTGAAATTTTACAGACCTCTGTAAATATTCCACTTTTGCTTCAGGCCGCTATGAGGCAAAGACGCAAACCATTATGCCTGTTTTTCGTAAAGGTACCTGCATTGGAATTATGTTGAATCGGGGTTTCATGGCCATGACTCAAAACCTAATGACGTAAGCAAGATGTTAAAAAAGTTGAAAAGCTACGAAAAAAGTTACGAAACCGTGTGCTGCGTTATCTCCCTAAAAATCAAGCTGAAGAGCTTTATCTAAACATATGGTGTCGACCCAACCCAGCGCCCGTCAGTCATAAACTCGATGCTTTCGCATAGACTGGAAATAGGGGCAAGGGCTATATGCGGTTATCACTTTAAGATATTTGCCCCAATACCGTTTTTTTTGGGTAATAATGTGTATTTCAGACGAGCAGTAGTCCAGCAGTTCTTGCTGTTCCAGCTGTTCGGATCCCATGCATTCGGGTACATATGACAACATTTTACCCACTCGTCATGCAGCGCTGTAGAACTGATGCTAGCTTTGTGCGAAGCTAGCGAAAGACGTCAGGCGGGGAGGGAAGGCGCAATTGCCCAATGGCTCCTGATTTATGAGCTCCCAGATCCGTGCGTCAATGATCCAGTAAAAAACAGATAAAGCAATTCATTACATCACTTAAAGTCACTCTTCAAGACTCAAGCAGCCGTTTAGCTTCCGAAGGTTAAACAAATTGTGTAAGTTTCGGAAGCTAAACGGTTCCTTAAAAGGATAAATGTTATTGCAATAGCATCCATCAAGTGTTCTATTTTTCCCAATGCCTAGCTCAGCTAGAGATGTGCTGTGTTGATTTCATTTAATTTCCGAAGTCTCGTGGCGTGCATTTTTTTCATCGAATCTGCAGCACTTAAAATCATATCTTTACCAGCCAATCACGCGGCAGTCGGCACATCTGACCAGCGATATCATTTCTGACACGTGAGCATCGAAGCAAGCCTCGCCGAACGGCATTTAAGGTACGATTCTGATTTTCTTCATGAATTAAAGGATTTTTCAACATTGGCTAACGGTTTACGCGGCATCCTGCGGCCGTCGTGACCATGTCGTCACATCACGGCCGTCGTGACCATGTCGTCACATCACGGCCGTCGTGACCATGTCGTCACATCACGGCCGTCGTGACCATGTCGTCACATCACAGCCGTCGTGACCATGTCGTCACATCACGGCCGTCGTGACCATGTCGTCACATCACAGCCGTCGTGACCATGTCGTCACATCACGGCCGTCGTGACCATGTCGTCACATCACGGCCGTCGTGACCATGTCGTCACATCACGGCCGTCGTGACCATGTCGTCACATCACGGCCGTCGTGACCATGTCGTCACATCACGGCCGTCGTGACCATGTCGTCACATCACGGCCGTCGTGACCATGTCGTCACATCACAGCCGTCGTGACCATGTCGTCACATCACGGCCGTCGTGACCATGTCGTCACATCACGGCCGTCGTGACCATGTCGTCACATCACGGCCGTCGTGACCATGTCGTCACATCACAGCCGTCGTGACCATGTCGTCACATCACGGCCGTCGTGACCATGTCGTCACATCACGGCCGTCGTGACCATGTCGTCACATCACGGCCGTCGTGACCATGTCGTCACATCACAGCCGTCGTGACCATGTCGTCACATCACGGCCGTCGTGACCATGTCGTCACATCACGGCCGTCGTGACCATGTCGTCACATCACGGCCGTCGTGACCATGTCGTCACATCACGGCCGTCGTGACCATGTCGTCACATCACAGCCGTCGTGACCATGTCGTCACATCACGGCCGTCGTGACCATGTCGTCACATCACGGCCGTCGTGACCATGTCGTCACATCACAGCCGTCGTGACCATGTCGTCACATCACGGGCTCTTAAACGATGTCATTACGTATTGAACGGTCGGGTTGGCAACAGACGGAATGCTATCTGTCGTGTCGATAAGGCCCGGGGTGTCATTGTAATGAACTACTGAGCCATGTTAGTTGCCTATTCCATACTCATTGACTTACTGTAGCTTGGGAATACATGACAGAATTCAGAGCACCTTCAGAAACATCGAACGCCATTTAAACGATACTCTTTCTTCACGTTATGGCCGGAGGCTACGGCCCACGTTGAAATTGATCAGTACGAACCTGAATGGAAAGATCATGCCAGCCCGGAACATGCTAATCCCAAGCGCCTTTTGAAAAGTTTAGTGTTAAGCAATACAGTCTATTCAACTGAAGCTGAGCGAAATCCTGAACTTGGATCTAGTGGCCTCATGAAGAATACAAGTTGCACGGTCAGTCTGCAAGGTCTTTATTTTTCGTCCATGCACGTTTTTCTTTTATTTTGCGTGCTGCTGCCGAATGAATGGCAGCTTTCACGACATGGCAGCAGCAAAATGGCAGCTATCACGAAGCAATTGGTGGCATTCATGGCCGTCGTGTAGACACCAGCACGTGGATCTCTCACTCGTGAGAAACTCGACTTTGGTAAGCTAGGCTTCAATAGCAATTGTCTGCCAATTTACGGGTACGTATTGCCCTGTTATCTTTTTATTGCACAGTGGGGAAAACTCTTACGATGAAGCCTCGCTCTGAGATCAAAAAGATGTTGTGAGGTATCAAACCCAGCCTTTGATCCCCAAAAGAGAATCTACAGCGTAATCTGGTCACGTGCCTTGGGTCATAATCTGCAAAGCCCGATTATTCCTGGCAAAATATGACAGAGAACCTTACGGAAGTCATGTTTCAGACCAAGCTAGGTGCACTTCCCCTCGTGCTGATGCCAAGTCAAGTGAAGTCGATGGGTTAACAGTCTATGCACTAAAAGCTGAATTTGATTCGGAAATTAGTCACATAGAGACCAAGATCCTCACTTTAAAGGGAATGCTCTACATCAGAAAATAATGAAACAAGGGTGAAGTACGATGAAATAAGCCCTCTCATAGCTATTTGTATACTTTTAAGTGGAAAAGACTGCTACAGATAGCACAATTTCTTTATATAATAACTATGTTCTTATTTCGTCATGAAACGTTTGTATGCCAGACCTGCCTTGCGGCTCTTTGATCTCCCGAGGGGCGGCCTGCGGCGGTACTGGACGTGTGCTGATCCAAATATTGTTGGTGGTTCATCTTTTGGCCATTTCTCGTAGTGTTCTTGCATATTTATATGTGAGCTTAAAGCTCCTAGTTGTATTCACGTGCTCGGTTATAGCGTTATTCTTCAGTCTGCTCCGATTACAATGCTTGTTTCCGTAATAACTATGAAGAAGCCATAATTATCATGTCATGCATCACAAAACGTGACTTGTATTGTTCATCTGACCCTCTTATCCTCCTTTTCGTTTTATCCTGAATCCTTGCGACGCCCCGCTTGTCCAGAGCAGCTTGCATGCTCCAGCCACGAGTTGGCCGGGAGGCTTCCTGGGGCGGACGCGGGCAGGGCGCCCAGCGCACACCCCGCAGAAAATATAGTTGTCGAGCCGTTCACATCTGGCGTTCGTGAGCATGATTCCCAGATAAAGCGGCCGTCAATTCGCTCTCAATAAACGTTGTGTAGGGCACGATGGCACAATCAAACAAGGACGTTTTGAGAAGCATATTTGCTAAATAGAGGCATTGCTTTGTTTAGAGCAGTCTTTCCCACTTAACAGCATACCAATAGTTATCGGTGAGTTTATTTCATCATGTGTGATGCTTGCGTCAATACCTTAGCAAATGTACACCGTTCGCATTAAGAAGAGTAGGGCTGTAAATTGCACCGAATTATCTTCAGGATGACTGTTTCAGGTCAAAACCCCGTACAAATGTGAAACACTCACTTTAAGCATCGATCATGACGCATTTGAGCAGCAAGCATACATAAGCGGCGTGCTGTGCTAAGTGTCTCAGCTGTAAGTTCATACTTCCTTACACAATGGCGGCACCTGCCAACATCACCCAGTCGAAGAGCAGATAGAAAAGCTGCTTGTTCTCTGTGCAATACCCACGGTCATACGTTACAGACTATAGCGTGCACCATGTAACCCACAGCCCGCGCAGGCTAAGTGATTGTCCCATCAATTACCGTTGGAATGTGCTGCCGAATCTCGAGTTTCCTTTTCAAAAATCGTCGATTGAAACAGCCGAGGAAAAGCAGGATGAGGGAGTTGCGGCTAAACTATGGAAATGTAAAAAGGTAGACCGGCCTGGTACGTTGCAAAAGTGGATATTTTTACAAGCACCGACCGCGTGCTCATGACTTTTAGCCAAAGAAAAGCTCAACTCTTTAAGCGTAGCAAGGCAAAACTTGCCAGACATTTGCATACAAGCTGTTCGACCGAGAATAATTTGTATGCGGCATTGAACATTCATGTTATTTGTTTTCTTCTATTCCTTAAATATAGACAGGGTAAAATGTTCAATGTGAGAAAAAAATAAACACACGTTCGAGACCGGATGAAATATTGGTGCCCCAGCATCGCCGTAATATGACATTAGTGAAATGTAACGAAAGTATGCAAAAGATGTAAATAAAGTGAAAATCTACATATTATGTTATATGTTGCGAGCTACCACCATCCGCAGGCGGGTGGTAGTGAATACCTACCAGCTAACATTATGCAAATTATGCGCAGCGAAGCTGCCAAGCGAATGATTGATAATTAGGAGTAGGCTGCCCCCCGACCTGCGATGAATGCTTTACAAACTTATTGCTACATTTTCTGAACCGATCTGAAATATAAGATGCTGTGAACTAAACATAACGTCTAAATCATAAACCAGTTAGGTTAACCCT